AAGCTCTTGCCATGATTCGCTACCACAGCTTCTACCCGTGAGTTTGATATCCCTCTCGACGCCGGCAATCATTCTAACCTCGCATACAGATGGCACCGCGAAGGCGCATACACATACCTTACCAATGCAGAAGACGAAAGATTGCTCGTAGCCGTCCAAGCGTTCAACCCCTACGATCTGTACAGCAAAAGCAACGAAGCCATCGACGTCGAAAAACTCAAGCCGTACTACAAAGGCCTGATTGAAAAGTTCTTCCCGCCGGTTCTGGACTGGTGAACGTGCTGCTAAAATTATATCTTTCTTGCGATGATTCTATTGCTTTCGATCTATGCTATTGTACTGTCTTGTTTTGGATACTGCATTGCTCTCGTTAAATAGTCTAGCCTAATGTTTAATGACAATTCTACGCGCCTAGGCGATTACCCTCTTCCGATGTTTTATGTATGACTCAATGTTCCCGCATCTTTGTCTACCGAGATATGCTCGAACAACGATCATACGGATCGGAATCATTCTCCGGCTTCGATGGCAAATGTGGTGAGCAGGGTGCAAAATCTACATCCGTCCAATGGAGGTTGAGGTCGGGGATCGGTGGTTAACTTCCCAAGTATTAAGCAACTTAATTACAGCCGACACTATCGAGCAGGTTCGCGGGTGATGAAAGTTGTCATTCGGAGGGAGCGCGTGATACACTGCGCAGCAAAACTACTTACTCAATTGCTCTTCTCTGTATTGAGTAGATCCTTTCTTGACGTCTGGTTAACCGCTTCGAGTACATTGCGCAATATCAAAACGGAGTAACCTGCCAATCCACATACACGATTCGTACACAATACATATTTCTTTAAGTAGGTAACAACACCAACACCAACACCACCTCCTCAAGAGGTGACGGCGTTCGTATTGAACTGCTCCTGAGTCTGCTCGGCAGTCGGATTGATGGACATCGTCATGCCCAAGCGGCAGTGAGCTCCGGCAGCCTGGCTGCAGGAGACAAAGTGAGGCTCGGTGTCGAGGATCGTGGTGGTGAATGTGCTTCCGGGCTGACTGACGGCGTCAATGCTAAGAAGGAAAGAGCATCAGCACCAAGATGACGTAGGCAATTTGTATACAACACACAATCCACTGTCGAAAGCGCCCGGTCCTACACCTCCTGCGGGAGGAGGGCAGGGATCAGCGAACGTGGTCGTCGTCGCCGAATCTGGTTAAAAAATAAAATTAATAGATGGAGTAATAAACGAGTAGGTACATACGGTTCCTAGTGAGGAACGTGAAGGTGACAGTATCCCCGATGGCGGGGTGAATCTCGGTGGGGCTGAACGAGAACGCGTTGTTGGGACCAACTTGGACGGCAAAGTTGACGCCCATGACAACGGGTGCGAAGACGAGAGCAGTAGAGAAGATTGAGAGAAGACGCATTGTTGTGAAGATTTGAGTCTGTGTTGTTGTTAGACGTTCTGCCGCTTAAATACTCTGAAGGTGCACTTCGTACCAGTACGGTGGTTTTCGAGCCTGGAAAATCAGGCATGCGCTCGTTGTCACCAGACGTATTCTCGAGTGTGTTTCGCTGGTCTTCGTGAGTGACGACCCAACGGGCGGGATGGAACTGTTCGCCGAAAGGGAAGCGGGCTCCCACATCTTCAAGGGTTCCTGGCCTCAGATCCCCGGTGTCAGGTGGTGAGAGTGAACTTGGAAAATGCCTCATATACCCGGGGTTCACGTGTGTGGTTTGAATTCTGCGTGTCAGAAAATGCGCACATTGTGCGATGATCTGACGCTGATCTTGAGGTGGAGAACGAGCTGTGAAACATAGACGTCAAATGCCGGTCCCGAGTCTTAATAATAGGAACTCTGACTTGTATGACCGGATAACAACGATTGTCTACCGATGTCTTGACGGGAACGGACTTGTAATTGCGAACGTAGAAAGACCAGGATCATGGACTGGCCATCCACCATATCTTTGCGCCAAAATCTCGTGAACAGCCTAGCGGTCTGTTCGTATAAGGAGAAATTTTAAGTTGATATTCGAATTAATATTCAGATCCTAGGGTTTGGGTCCCTCGAGAGGGTTTCCACAGGCTAGTGAGAAACTCACATACTCGACCTGAACAACATGTGAAGGACCTCGGGATGCAAGAAACCGACATAATTCTGAGCAGATACTCGAGGACATGTGGTTTGTATTATGCAAAGGATACTGTCCGTTCACAAGAATATGGTGAGAAAGGGAAAGAAGAACAGAAAATAGCAAATAGCCCACCGAGTTCGTGCCCAAACAACTCTGTCGCCGGCCAGCGTACAGTAAAGATTTCAGCCTTTCGCCAAGTTCGAGAACGGGGCTCCTACAATCGAGAAACAAGGGCGTCAACAAGAATCAGATGGTAGTAATTGCGCAGTTATGCATTGCTGGAGATCCGGAAGGTGTATCACACAAAAACGAACATCACGTACAGAATCTACCGCCCCACACACATCCTGCATTCACTCCTAATGTCCAAGCAGGAGACTGACGCGTGCATCTTCGAGGACTGGCATCTACATCTTGCGTCGCTTACGATAAACGTGGCCTCGTCAGCTCTGCGTCCTAAAAATATTATCAACGTCAGCAGATTTGAACATGTCAGGAACGCACACACGCACAATTGCTAGAAATGATCAATAACGGAACGTGGGTACTGGGAAGACTAATGATCACTCAGCAACTTCTCGCGGCCCCCGAAAATTCGATTGGGCGCGACTGGGAGAATCTAGTTGCAAACTGGCAGGAAGACCGGGACGCCGTCCTCTGATACTGGCAATTCGAAGCTGAGGCTTATCTGATGTTCAACAACAGACTTTACAGGAAAGTGGTGGTCATTATTTGTAGTCATGTCTCACTTGCTATACCGTATGCACCTAGAGTGCGTGCACGGTGCGATGGTGAGGAGAACAAAGGATAAAAGGTGGCAGAAGTGGTATCCTGCGGTTGTCACAAAGCCTTTCATGGAACATGTCTATTTGATTGAGATGAGCGAGGCGGGTGGAAAGCTGGATTGGATATCTTACATGTGCAGGTTCAGATGGCTTTCTGTAAACAAATCGCTCCCAAATTTTCGTTATTCATTGGCACCAGGACAATCTGGTGCATTATAGATGAGGTTCTGCATCGCTCAGACCCTCGTGAAACGCGTATCTTCCCCAGGATGCGACCCGGGCACTGTAGCTCGCTCACCGTCGTCACAGAACGTGACTAGCGGCAAGAAAAACACAAAGATTTCGATATCTACATCCAAAGTTCTTCGAGCTTGCAGACTACATGAGCACCATATGTGCAGAAACGAGAACGAACCCACCTGTGCTGCCACTGGACTCCTCGTCTTTTCAGAAATTTCCTTGACATTTTAGTTTCCTTCTGTGGCCAAGCTGATCCAAATTCGGGTAGGTAGAGGAAGAAAAAGACGACAAGAGACGTAAATGTAGTCTTAACAGTAGCACTGCTCTGCAAACATCCTCAAGCGCCGAACAGATTTCAAGATTTGCCCGAGAAATCAAAACGAAAGCAGAAGAACGGTCAAGCATTCTCAGTAAGGTACAGTGACCGGAGCACTGCCAGGCTTAAGCTTGCGGCCGTTGCGGCTAAACGCCCTAGCCCGCCAGAAACGGCAATCGGGTCTTTCCGTTCCCACGCCACAGACGCGTCTCCTACCTTCATGTTCAAATCTACTGTCGGCCTGCACAAATGTGATGGGAGGTGAATTCAAGAGATTTTACGTCCACTCTCAGGTCCTGACTCTATATCATGACGATATCTACGTGCTCATGCCGGTCTCCCGTAGTATACTGAAGTTTGGATTCCTTGAACAATCATTTGAATAGCATTGAAGCCCATGGTCCGGGGTCCTGATTCCTGATTCTGAATGCTTGTATTTCTGGCCTTCAGACTGTATTCTTGCGCCGGTCATGGTTATATCAAACTTATAGCTATATCCCCTGGAACGATGCCTACTTGGCGCCGTGCGCTCGAAGACAATCGACTCGACAGTTTGCGACAAGAATACTCTTTACTCGTCTGGTGATGACCAGTCTACGTAACATGTGTACAAATGAGCTACTTTACGCAACCCGACTCTATCTCTCGGCCTATTCCGCGAGTGGCTAACGGCCTTCCTTTGTCCCTTTGTTCTTTGGGTATATATAACAAGCTACCCCAAAGGCGCCTTTCATATCTTCATCTCTCACTTCATTCTCCTCTCTGAAGCTTGCCTTCACCGAGACGTCTTTCTTTCTCTTGAAAAATTCTATTGGTCATTTGATATGTCGTCAGCGAGTACGAGTCGTCTTCCAATTATCTATAACACCGTTATTCTAACACCATGATACAGACTATTCCACATCCACCAGTGCCTTCGCCCATGCTCCCAGCGCATTTTACCAATTCCCCTACGGCACGGTTTACTCCGCGCACCACCACGTAACCATTCGGGGGACCACCCATTTCATCAACAATCTCCACGCGGCTGGAGTTCCCGGTGCGCTCACATACAGAGGCACAGTATATTTCCCACAAAGTGGTCCTTCCAGCACCTCGCGCCATCGCCTACCTGCCCAAGAGCTCAAGGATGGTCACTCGACTGGTGTTTTTGAATATCAACCAGAGCAGCGGCAGATGGATTCGAGAAGCGTATCTGAGTATGAGACGGCATCAGACTCGGACGACCAGAGCGTTTGACGGGAAACTCTCTATACGTATTGTCGCTCGCCTTCTGGAAAGATCCTGACTTTACCTTACATTCTTCTAAAACTCGTAGGCTGGAACTGATGAGCGGTATCGTCCCGGATGTAAGACGTTTATACGAAGTAGCAGTAACCAGACTCTGGTGTAGAGAATTCAGACTTGTGGGAGAGAAGTTACGACACCACCTGAAATTTCCTGAGCCATTGGCCCCCGCTGCCGCTTGCATTCCTATTAAGTATCTTGATTCGACAAGAAGAATATGATTTCAGCTAGGAACAATCATCTCTCTGGCTGGGAGTCGAACCCAGCTTTCACCCGCACGCAAGATAATCTACTACCTGAATGACAGGCGCGTGTACTAACATATATACTACCAGAGGCCTCAGGATTGTCATAATAATCATACTTTGAGCAGACGAACTCGACACCCAATCCAAAACGACATGGCGCGCGTAGCCGGCCAACCATGGGCTTCCGATACAGTTGTAGTAGAGTCACCCGCTTTTCATTGCGTAGTGAACCTCGACGTCTGGGAAACTGGTGAGTACATCGGGCTCGAAAGTAATCGATCATTAGGACGGAGGGGCTTACCAAAACACGGCCCTCAAAACAACAGAACTCATTTCTTGGGGAAGATCCAATGGCCGTACAATCCTCTTCTCTGGAAGACCCAACTTTCCTCTCGAGTAAGCATCCGCCAGATTATCCTTCGTTGACACATAGAGCAATTCTGCCTTCATCTTCTTCGCCTCAAGCAGCGTATGTGTCCGTTTGACTGAGGAGTCGATCAAGGTATCTCGACTCTTCTTTTCATTGAAAGCACGAATGACTCCGATATTGTCGCTAAAAATCGTCGCCTGCACACCTCGCGCTTGGATAGTATGCACTCCGATTTCTACTGCGAGGGCCTCTAGCCTGTTTATGTCTCCAGACGTGAACGAGTGGTGTTGGTGGTAGCGCCACACATCCCAAAGCCCGTCAATATAGATTCCGATGCCCCATGTACTAGACGCATCAACGAAGATGTTTGGTCGTGCCAGATTAAGGAGGACCGATGTTGTGGAAGGTAGAACTGCCGGGCAGTGTTTCCCGTTCGTCAGAAGGGCTTGTACCGGGCTCTTGAAGAACGAGAGGCGAAATGCTGAAGGAAGCATAAGCTCGGACGTCAAATGTTGGTAGGTGCAGTACGGACCGTATTATAGCTCTTGAAAGCTTTATTATCCCTCAAAGACGACGCTTCGACTTTCCATTCGACAGAAAAAAGACCCTTGTATCAATGTGACAAGTCAAGATAAAGCCAGGAGCAACAAAGTTAAGACAAAGTCACTATCGTCGACCTTCCATGAATGAATGATCAAATCCTAATAATTCAGGCTCCATAGATTTTGTGAACCAAGACAGAGCGCTTCTATCCCGTTCAAGTCATGGAGATTGGCGGCAGAGTGGAAAAGAGAAGTCAGAAGCCAGACAATTCGTCCTAGCAACAACGAACGACTCGTCTGGCTTCTGGCTTCTCTTTCCAAATCTGTCAGAGTTCACGACTCGGGTAAACCCTAAATTTTGAGAAGTTAGAGCCCTTGTTGAAGGGAATGATTCGATGATGAATGGCACAAGTTGACGGAGCGCCAGGAGTTGTCGTCGTATTAGCAAGAACGCGGCTTCACTGATACCACCGCAAAAAAATCAAGGTGTTTAAAAAGGGTGCAACTAGGAAGCTAAGGGTCAGTTCTTCCGAAGCTTCAACTTCTTCGATGATGGTTGGGCAAAAGAAGAACGGAGGATCGGCCCGAGTGAGAATCGCCGCGGCATAACCTTTTCGGCTACTACTTGAACATCTATGAATCGTCTTGGATTCTCTAACCTGATGCAAGTCGGACTTCCCGACGCGACGCGCACATTGACCCGAAATTCTACAGCCGAACTCGGGGCTGAAATTGTCAAAACGGTTTGTCAGACATGATCACTAGAATACTTCCGTGCATATAAGTAAGTGTAGTTAAATACGGTAGCTAAACAAGCAGATGGCCGATATAGTAATACAAACAAGCTGTTCAGGAGGGAGGATAAGAGTGTGGAATAGTAGAAAAATAAATGGTTCCTTCATTGATACAACACTGGAATCCCTGACAAGAAACACTTTCGAACTCAAGCCTGTCATCTTTTGATCGCCTCGTGATGAACGCTTCTCTCCGAGCCTTCCGACCGAGTCCCATTATAGGGCCAAATATCAGAATCTTCTTCACCAAACGGTGGCCCAGGCTCTTCGGCGTTTTGGTAGTTACGAGGAGTTGTATTCACCAACCGGTCTCGCTTTTGCGTGTCGGGGATTGGTCGTTTATCTGCCTGTCGCAGGCTGCGATTGCTATTCGCCACGAAAGAAGACATAGAAGTTGTTGATGGCGGTGCATGATGATAACTAGGAAATGTATGTGTCGTCCTAAAAGGAGCGATCGTTGATGGATGTGCCCTTGGTCTTCGATCCCTATAAGCTTCAAGGATAGTGTGTCTGTTTCCAAGCCTGAGAATGAGTCTTCTACGCCGATAGAGTAGAAATGTTATTGTTCCCAGAATGCCGGCAACAAGTATTGCAACAACCACTCCGATGATAGTGCCTACGCTCATGCTAGTTGTCGCAGCCGAATCGTTGTGATCAGATTGACCGTCATCATAGCTTTGAAACTTAGTAAACGATTTGTTTCAGTAGATATAAGCGGTGGACATACGAGTAGATGAAGGCATCGAAAAGAAGTAGCGTTTTTCTTCCACCAACATGACCGTTCTGAACTGTGAATCTATGGATACCGGCGGGAATAGAGGAGTTGGAATAGACGGTAACGTTGTACTCGAAGCCTGGCTCTCCGGGAGCGTTTTGTGAGAACTGGCCAACGAGGTCATCATCGATGTAGAAACTCATGTCTGAGTTCCCGGTAGGTGAGGAAGTGGTTTTAGCGAGTATGCACCTTACATAGATAGCCGAGCCTCGTATTGCCTGAGCGAAAAGGTCTTTTATAAGAAACTGCCACTCACCATTAAATATCATAGATACGTTGCGCACTTGATTCGGGCTAATCTGTGCATCTTGGTCGAACTTCACCTGCAGTGTGAACAGTTGACGCCGGCGTGAGTAAATAAGGCTCACAGTAGAATCATGCCATGTCCCATTTATTGTCATCGAGGCATCGGGGTGTGCGGTACAGCTTTGACACGGATGCTTGCTATCATTCCAGGCATCTTCAGGAGAATAGAATATAAAAGGGCTCTGATCGTCGATTGTAGTGTTCACAAGCCGTCCCAGGACACTACGCTTGAGTAGAAGAAATATACAGATGAGAAAATGGCGCAAGCCAAAAGAGCCCATTGCTTCGACGAGGCGCTAGGAATGGGAAGATCGTGCTGCTCCGCAGACAATTTTAATTTATAACATCCTCTGTAACCATCAAACTGTCTGAGTGGACATCGCGGATCAAGGATCGAGGTTCTCATTGTTATCCAACAGTTCCTACAGTTCAGAGCAGAAGGCTAAGAGACTGTCTGCATGGTCAAGTTCTGCTAGAGAAAGGACTCCAAGAGAAAGAATCATCGCAGGATTTAGAGGCAGAAACGATAGGATAAGCGTCCGACGTAATACAAAGCCATAAATGAGGTGAATCAGGCGCAAATATAGATACTGCCTCAGGGAGACTCGCGAGCTCAGGATCAGGATGATAATCACCTGGTGGTAGCGAAGTTCAACGTTGTTCAGTTTCGGCAAAAAGCGGCAGAATTGGTTGCCGACGGCGAGGCCCGGGAATTCACCTCGGATCACGCCGGCGCCCTTCGTGTTGCCGATTTGGGTCTTCACTTGATATCAGATATTGCGCTCAGCGAGGTCTGTCAGTCTACGGCTGCATGCACGGGTTACTATAACCATTTACGTTTTTCCTTTGTTGATTCTTCTGACGAAAACTGCTTTCCAGATGGATGCTAGCAGTACATATTACAATTACAATTTTTCAAAACTGGCCGCCTCGGATGGATGGCCTAGTAATAAGATGACAGTGCATCCCCTGGTCTGAAGGACTAGTGGCAGGATAAGGTTCTGGAGTGATGCATCACTCCTGGCCTTGTGTGATCTTCGTGTCTCGGTTGCTAGAATCAATGGCGGATGGTACAATGGTGATTGATGGTTGATGATGCTCACCTAGCGGCCAAAGAGGGATGGATTTATCGCAGTCTGACGGAGTCACTGCGCACTGGCAGAGTCTTTTGATCCCGATGGCTGCTGCTAGAAAGTTCGGCTGTATCTCTATTAGACTTGCAAGAATGTTTTCTTCGCCATCGGAACAGAATAAATGTACTAAAAGGAAAACGAGAGAGAATTCGACCATGGCGCTTATGTTCGGACCAGTATTCGCCGTGCCCATATCGGACTCATACTCGGCGTTACTACTCGTCGTGATCAGATTGCCCATCACTGTAGCTATAGAAACCCGCGGGTCGATGGGTCATCCAGGTAGTAACGGGCATGCGAATACACAAAAGCATCCAAAAGGGCTAGAGATTTTGTTCCACCGACGTGTCTGTTCTGGAGTGTAAATCTATGCTGACCAGCGGGAATAAGTAGAAGAGTTGGAAGAGACGGGAACATTGTACTCGAAGTCTGGCTCTCCTGGAGCGATCAAGTATAATTCCTGCTAGCCAAATGCGAGATATCGAGCAAATAAACATAACACTCTCCATCATTTAGTTATTGGCGAGACGGTGAGGGTTCAGAAAGACCCCGTGAATGGCGTTTTTTCCAAATGACAGAGTCCAGTGCGTTGCACAATTCTGATTCATATAAGTAGCGAGCATCATCATATTTTGTGAAGTCATACAATGGTGGCGCCACTCAATCGACTGGGCGCCCCACTTCGAGCAGGGAAAAATTCCAGAGACGGCTCCCTCATGGTCGTAGCATTAGACAGCCTCTTCTCCGAACCTCGCATCGCCATATCAGCACTCTCATCGAGAAGACCCCCTTTCGCAGCTACCCTCTCCACAATCAAGGTAGGCGCAATGCCCTATGTACAAGATCAACACGTTTCGGTGTACAATTAACCCCCACTCACAGTGATAGAATTCATAACCGCTTGTGCATATACATTCCTCGGATCATCCCTTGCGAAGAACACGATGAACACGATCATCGACACCGAATAGAGTGCGGCGGACTCCACCAGCATCTCAATGATGTTGAGGTACTTGTCGTTGTAGCCGATACGGTATATTATGAGAAAGGTGCAGAGAAACGTTGTGAGGAGCGACAGGATGAAATAGCCCAGTCCCCATCTAATCGATGAAGGACCCCAATTGGTGTATTGCACGCGGGAGGAGTGGGAGATGTCTTGGGAGAGGAACA